TATATATGTCGTCAAGCAGTCTACTAAGCATTTTAATTCACACACATTTTAATACAACTTAATTTTTGAAGTTGATTCGCCTTAATGTGCGTGGAACATAATGTCGCACACCCCATTTAATATTGGCATATTTATCAGTCTTGACAAATGTATAGACAGGCTTATTCAATAGTTGTTCCATTTTTGCTTGATATCTATCGGTCTGACCTATTCAAGAATATTTGTTTAAGTATTTTTATAATTTTAATATTATAAAAAATAATAATATTATAATATTATAAAAAAAGGACTGATTTTATATATAAAATATGAGTTTTTTTATACATAACAAAAAACTTAAAAGAAGGTAGTAGTTCTTTTAATGAAAAATCGATAATTTTTAAATAATAAGTAATTGACTGTGAAATATGCAATGTTTAAGAAATTTTATATATATATATAAGCTGAATATATATTTTTTTAGCTCAAGTATATAAAATCTATATAAGAATTTCAATAGTTTATATATAAATAAACAAAGTTTATTAAATCATTTGATTTCGATAATTTTTTTTCTTAAATAATAACTTACCACTTTCAAGCGCAACCATAATACTTAAGAGCAGGTAAAGCATAAAATAAATTTTAAATACCTGAAATACATTCGTGAGATAGAGCCACGGAATATATTATAAATATAAAATGTACTCACTTGCATTGCACGAAATATTACACTCATTGTTCTTATTAATGTACCAAGATAAATCAGATATCTGTTCAGTTGTCGATATTCTTTTAGACTGTCTTTATGCTAGATCAGATAGATAGTTTAAGTTCGCGTCTATCATAAAAAGTACAACGGTTGAATGATCTTTTGTGCGCTCTGTATGAGTGTATAGTATTTAAATATCTTTTACTACTTTCGCTTAACCCAGATTTTCTAACACCTGTTACTTTTATATATTATTGCAGTCGTTGAACTTAAAGAAAACGATTTCACCTAACGATTTGTATTTTAATATAGTTACAATATTTTTGTACTAATATATTTTATTAGAAAACTGTATACACATCTCAATTGAGGATTGAACACATCCAAATTGAGAATTGAACAACGATGTTAAAATAAATATTATGTTCTTTATTCGCTATTACTTTCTCCACACTGACAAATCTTACACACCAGACTATTTTCCTAGATTGTCCACATACATCAACGATTATGCAATTCCACGTATAAAAGTCCATTGTACATTAACTTGAGAAGTAAAAAAAGAGGAAAAATGCGGACTTTTAGAATATCTATTCCGATCACGTGTGAGAAACAGATATTATTCATTGTCACTAATGTCCTCATCGGTTGTGAATTCGGAATGTTCATCAGCTGCATCCACATCCTCTGCAGTTTCTTCGTCTGAAATGTCCCATTGCGGATGTTCGGTTGGTATTTCTGGTGCCTCCTTCACATCCAACTACAAAATAAAATACGTATCGTTTACATAACGTATCGTTAAAGATATAAATAACAAAGAAGATTTATTATTATTAATGTTATTTGAATTTTTAAATTACTCACTTTGATATCTTGAGCTTGATCGAAACCCAGATACGAATCGCTACGTAGACACACGGTAAATGTATAAAGGCCTGGCCAGCGTGGTGCCGTGAATCTTAACTGAATTTCCTCAAATTGTGCTAAGGATGTGACGTGTATAGGGGTTGTTAACAGTGTTTGACTTTTGCGATCACAGATATAGACCCACCAATACTCTTGCTTGACATCGGGAAAAAGTGGACAATGCACTTCATGTGACAAATTACTCCTTCCTTCTAGTACTCTCTCCCGTTTAGAGATTCTTTGTTGGAATCTATTTTATAAAAAAAAAAAAAAAATGTTACAAAAAAAAATGTTGGCTGTGAGCGAGATAATGATTTAATATATGAGATTTAAGAAAAACATAAATATAAATATTCTTACTTTTCCCATTCAGTATCGTCATCATCGAGAGAGCCATCCTTTTTATCGTGACTATCTTCGTCATCGCTTCGATCACTCTCGGCTTCACTGTCACTGACATCCGACAATTTCTCCTTGGAAGACTCTTTCTCCGTTTTATCATCTTTTTTTCTCGCATTAGGAGTATTGCTGTGCTGAGTATTGTTAGCCACAGCCTGAGACTGCGCCTGTGTATTTTTAGCAGGAGCTAATTTCTTGTTGGTGCCCTTTTTATGCGACTTCTTTTGTCCTTTCTTTTGTTTAAGCCACGCCGGCTTGGCAGCTTTTGTCGACTGAGTTTGTTCTTCTGATGCTTCTTCAATCGCTTCACCACTAACTTTATTATCATCGATCATCGTTTGTTCATTGACAGAATCATCTCCGAAAAGGTGCTTCATGTCTTTTCGCGTAAGCGATACTGTTACTGTTACAATGGCACCAGCGGTATAGACAGTAGGATTCTCATCATCGATTACTGAAAATATAAATAAATTATTAAAAATGTAATACACTTAAAAGTTAATCCTTTTATAAAATCAACAGAAAACATTGATGCAAATAATAAATTACCTTCTGATCGTACTTTGAAGTCTATATACGGCATATTTCCGAGAACTTTCATAACATCTTCGTACTGGCTATCCGATAGATTTCTAAGTATCAGTCTTCGTTCTTCTCCTTTCAATTGTGCGAATTGTTGAAGACTTTTGATTTGACGCTAAGAGAAAACATATTCATTTTTAAATTATTTTCATCAATAATTATGAAAACATCTTGAGAAAATGAAATTTACTATATAAATGTCACTAATACCTTCTTCGCATGGAAGTATTTTAAATTGTCCTCTGTTATGTGCGGTAATTGAAGGAGAGGATTTTTAAATTCCCAGAATCCTTGGACGATCATTGGGCACAGTTTCATACAGTTTTCTATAGTTGTTATAGTTGGTACTCGCGGTACTATAAAAAAGAAATGTCCATTGATTATTTATTCCATATGTCACAAAATATTTGGAAAAAAAAATACTCACCTCTTCTAGCATAAGCTAAAAGTATAACTTGATGGACACAAGCAACCATTTCTTGAATCAAGTATGGACATTTTCTTACAATGTATTGCCTGTCTTTATCCAACGTCTCAGGATTGAGTGGTATACGTGATAAATGCGCGTGCAACAATGCTCTAGCTTTAATTGAATACAAGTGGCATAATGGTACTTCCTTGTTCTTTTCTCCCAAGTTAGGTAGCTGTTTGATAAGCTGAAAAATGTGAAAATATATGTAGTAAGCTTATTACTCAACTGCAAGAAAGATAAAGAAATTATATATAATGAAGTTTACCGAAGGAACTTCTTCACTATCAGAATGTCTCTCAACTATTTCTGCATTACGCTTCTTGAAGAATTCAAAAGAAGCAGCAAGTATCATGATAACTCTTTTTAATGACATAGACGGCGTTTTCACGAAGAAAAAGTAATACATTTCAGTCGTTGTCAGGAGAACCTGAAAATAATTATGGATATATGTAATAATTGATAATTTGTCATGTATAAAAATTTGGCATAAAAATGCCAATTACTTGATCACCAGTGTAGCGAATGCTCTTGTACCACCACATTCCTACAATTGTTGGTAAAGCAACCATGAACACTAATGCGTATAGTCCTAAGACCCATACTGTATTCTCTTTTTCAACGATCCAGGAAGGCAAAGCTATACCAAAACTCATTGCTCCTGGACCATCCGGATTTCCATATTTTTCCCAATTTTTTCGTGCTTCATCGTCCGTTAAAGCTTGATAAGCTATTTTGGTTAATAGAAAAACGACTCCGTTAGTTTATATCAAGATTTAAGATATTAGTAATAGCAATTTAATCTTAGCATAATCTTTATAAATTAATATCAAACATTTAATTCTTATCCGTTACAAGATTAATTTCAGTGCAAATAATCCGACGATTCTTATTGAGCTTTCCTACATTATTTCAGCATGTGCGCAGTAAATGTGTTATAAATTAATTAAACGTGTTTAATAAATATGTAATGTACTTAGTGTTTACACTATATGTTTTGAATCTGTGCATATGACGCTCCGTTTCTTACCTTTAGTTAATTTCATAAAAGCTTTTTCATTTCCAGTTTCTTTATCAGGATGAAGAATTAGAGAAAGTTTACGGTAAGCTTTCTTTATTTCACCTTGCGAAGAACCCTACAATTAGAATCATATTAATTTTTATGCAACAAAAATAATGATATACAAAAAAAATTCTACATTTTATACTCACAGGCGGTATATTTAATATTTCATATGGATCAAAATTGGCCATTTCGTAATCAAATTGAGACACTTTATATGCTAAGAATATTAAGATAAGCCATCCCAGGATAATTAAAAATTTCCTATAATAGTAACGTAATCTTAATTGTGTAAAAAATTTTAATTAATTTTTATAATTGTAAAAATATCAAAATATTTTGCATATAACAAATGTTATAAAACATGCAAAAACTCACGTTAATAAAGCCTTGGTTTCCTTCCAAGGTTTGTTAGCTTGAAGAATAATTTTTTTCTTTTTGCATCCATCGCATTGACATTCTTTGGCTAACTGATCAGGATCTGAATAAAATTTAAGTTAACATTATTTTTTATAATTAACCTTTCATTTTATCAGTAAGTAATTAAAAGTATTTTTACAACATTTATGATTAAATGTTGAGATTAGATTAAATCATCATGTAAGACTCAAATAAGTGTCAACTTCAAAAGCTCAATATATTCTTTGCCTATTTATTCAATATATTACAAGATTGTAAAAGTTTAGACATGAAACATAGAATGTGCTCATGTAGTCCAAAACTTTCGTATTCTAACAAAAGTTAGGATTGTAATACATTGTTTCTCTATATGACTGCAGATTACATAATTAAAATTATGCGTATAAATTATAGAATTGACAAAAAAAGAAAAGCAGATAATTCATTGAAGCATTTTTCGGATTGGGCGAGCTTGACGTTGTGTCCCATGAAAGGATAAAGTGGAGCACAACGTAAATTGCTGATTGCAAGCGGTGCTCGTCCGTCATGTGTACGTGGGACGTCGTTACGTCGGCCGTGTGCGTTACGCGCTTGTAAATTACTCTGTCTGGAAAATGGAGTTCGCCTTGATCATTCTCAGGCTATCTCCGTCTCTCTCTCTCTCTCTCTCTTTCGCTAACCTTGCTTCGGGCAACGTGGCCAGAGGTAGTAGGTCCCGGGTACCAGCAGTAGCGCCAAGAACGAGAGCAGAAAGTAAAAGAATGTCCCTCCGCTCTCGTCATACTGGAACTTCTGTCCGCTCATCGCTCATTAAGTACTGCGGCGTTGTTTTAAGTAGACCGTTTAAGTACATTCATTCGTAACATTATCTGGACTCGCGCGCGCGTTGCGGACTCACGGACGACACCGTACGACATACAAATCAACAGTTAGCGGGAGCCGGACTGCCCTGTCAAGACTGCCAACTCAGCACCGCGCGCCGCCTGGCCACACCGGCACCGCGCACTATCGACTCTGACGTACGCACGCGAACGTACGCACGCGACCACGATCGCCGTGGACTGACGACAAGGACCGGCGTTGCCGTCGACGGTGACGTCGACGGCCGACCGCGCCGCGGGAGGAGCCAACGCGAAAAATCGGGTTACTCTGCGCGCGCGTTTTCTCGCGCGATGAGAGAGAAAAGGAGAGAAGAGACGGCCCGTGACCCGTACGAACAGCCGATAAGAAATAAATGAGACGTAACGAACTCATCGAGATCTCCCCTCAATTAAATTTTAATTGTTTCATTTTAATCGTCGATCCTCTTCGTACTTAGTCTTGGGAGAGCGTCGAGATTGTAACAGAATCTAATCAAAACGGGCTTTTCTCGAAACTCGTCTCGATAAAGTTTGTAAGTTTATAATATTCTCTCTCTCTCTCTCTCCTTGGTTTTTGAAGTAAAACAGATAAAACGTATCTTTCTTGGACTTTACGAAAAAACGGAAAGAGAAGCAAGGTGCAACGACAGAAAAGGAGCAAGCTGGACGTAGCAAAGAAAAACTTCGTTGCCGTCAAATAACGGATTTTTTATACGGTTTTTTAACATCGTGAACGCAAAGTGGCACGTGATGCGTGGAAAATGGGAAACAACGAATTTCGCGTCGAAATTCGCCCAATCTGGCGCGAGAAAGGTGGAGGAGCAAGGGGAGGAAAGTATATATTAATTGGCCAATAAATCCCCATCCGGTTGTTCCATGAGTTCCACTCGTCTATTCGCGACACTTCAGAGAGCAGCCTGAACTTTGATTAAATTAATAGATATCAATATTATTATCTTGTTAACGTGAATAAAATTTTTAATTTAATAACCATATGACACGAAAAAAAGATTTAATTACACATGATCAATTACGTAATTTGTTTTGCCAATTCTGCCAGCGGAACGAGTCGCTAAATTAATGTCCATTTCCACCAGTGTAAATTAGCTTTAATCTCGGTTTAACTCTCTTTTTCTAGTTCGTAAAATTAAAAAAGGTAAAAAATAAATTTAGATCGAAATTAAAGTTAATCTACATTCGTAAAAATGGATATCATTTTAATTTTAAGAATTAGAAAAAGATAAAGAGAAATTAAACTAAGATTAATGTTAATCCACATTGGTGAAAATAAACATAAATTGATCGCAATTTGGTCAAAATTACTTGACGCATTAAAGATGTCTTTTACATATCGAGATATCTTTTACATAATTATTTTACCTTTTAAAATACTCGAGCTGCAAGTTCAAGTTCCAAGAGCGAGAAATTCCTTTAGACTCGAATTTTGACCAGTTTTTGTGATCAATAAAATAATACGAGCACCTAAAGGGAAAAGCGAAGCTGAACGTCAATTGTCAAACGAAGCTCTCCTTTTCTTATCGCGTTCGTTGCACCTTTCCCAGCAATTACCTCCCCTTTTCCTCTCCTCAGTCCTCACTCGAGCAAATATTGCTGTAAATGATTTATAAATAAGTCACCAGAGGCGAAGGAGGATCGTAAACAACATTGTCTTCGCGCCGAAGATGGAGTGGTGGGACAATTTGTTTATTATCTGGGTAGCGAAAAATGAGTCATTTCGTGCGCGTATTGTTGGAATCGCGTCATTCGCTTTGCGCGAGAACATCGCTATCATCAACATCTCGCGTGGCGGTAACAACGGTGAACAACGAGGCAGCGGCCGTCGTGACCCTCTTATCGAACGGCCCGATATATCTTTTTTTCCTTCGCGTTGCTATTTAACCACAGCGCGACGTGACTGTCGCGCTGTTGCATCGCGCGCGCACGCACGCACGCACACAAAAACAGACTCGCGAACGAGTCCGAAAGGAGGAGCGAGTCGCCGTCGCCGTCGGTGATCAACGAATATCAGTTCACGATCGACAGCCGCCGACCCCGAAGGTGCGCGTTGACGCCGTACACGAACACTGCCGACGCATGATTCGCCTGGACGAGAGCAGTCGCGGCGCGGTGACGGGCACGTCGAACGCGCGACAATGTTCTGATAAGATATCCACGACGGTTCTTCCTCAGGTGGGCGATTACGTCAAGGTTAAGTCCGCGCCCTCCTCGCCGCGCGGCCTCCTCGGTCGGATCGCCGCCGGCCCGACCCTGCGACACGGCGGTTCCTTTTTCGTCGTGTCGTGTCGAAGAGGAACCGCGCGAGAAAAGTCACCGCCGTATCACAAGGTCATCAAACTGTTGCAATTCTATTTTGTAACGGTATTTTGTCTGTTGTGCAGGATAGATGCGAGCCGACAACGCAGACATGTCATCTCTAAGAAATGTCACCGAGTGGACGTCCTCCGACGTGAAGACGTGGCTGATAGAAAATGGTCACGAGGAGTACGCGGATTTGTTTTACCTTCACGAGATCGACGGAAAGGTGCTTCTGACACTGAAAGAGGAAGACTTGAAATCTAGTATTTTGAATATAAAGAAGATTGGTGCTATAAAGAAATTGTATCTAGCCATAAAGCAACTGCAGAGGGACAATGTTGCCGTTCTGTTTGATCTGGGTTACATGGATTTGTTTCCTTCAACAAATTTTTATACTCATCAGAATAAGCATGAGGTAAAGTTACAAGTGTTAAAGTCACAATTGTTAAAGTTGATTGTGATTGATAGTTAAAAAGTAATGTTTAATATGATTTTAGATGCCCAGTACTGGTACAAATAATGAAACATCTATCGATCATGAGTTTTATTCAGCTTCGGTATCAGAAGATGGACATGCTTCTCACTTACCACCTGAAATCTGGAAGACAGTCATCAGTTTAGGATATTTATTTATCGTCACGTGGATTACTGCCTTTGTGATGGTTATTGTTCACGATAGAGTGCCTGATATGAAGAAGTATCCTCCGTTGCCAGACATATTTTTAGATAATGTACCTCATATTCCTTGGGCGTTTGATATGTGTGAAGTTACTGGTACTCTGCTTTTTGCGATATGGCTTATTGTGCTTATATTTCACAAGTATAGGTAAGGAACGAGGCACTTAAAATAAATAAAACAAAGGATATGATTCGTCAGTACGAATAATTTATTAAATATGGAAACAGATTTATTTTGTTACGGAGGTTTTTTGCATTGTCGGGTACAGTCTTCCTACTGAGATGCGTAACGATGCTCATTACTTCGTTATCAGTGCCAGGTGCACATCTACAATGCCAACCACGGAAAGTTCCGGATGAAGATTGGTCAAAGTAAGATATATATTGATTACATTATAACATATATTGTGTCTTTCTAAATATAAGCAATGTTTACATTTTAGTTCTGCATATGTTGAGCTGTATAATAAAATAGCAATGGCTTATGTTATTTGGCGAGGTGCCGGAATGTCTATTCAAGGTGTCAGAACTTGTGGGGATTACATGTTTAGCGGACATACCGTGGCGTTAACTATGCTTAACTTTTTCATTACAGAATGTGAGTGAATACTCTATACTGTATAATCACATATTATATGTTTACATGTTTACATATATCGTATATGTTTACACATGTTTGAAATGCTCTTCTTTTTTATTGCAGATACTCCGAGACATTTGTATTTTTTACATACTTTCACATGGATGCTCAATATGTTTGGCATCTTTTTCATCTTAGCAGCCCATGAACATTATTCCATCGACGTTTTTGTCGCATTTTATATAACTTCGCGATTATTTCTCTACTATCACACATTGGCGAACAATCAAGCATTGATGCAACGCGACTCGATCAGAACCAGAATCTGGTTTCCGTTATTCAGCTTCTTTGAGGCATCCGTTGATGGCATTGTTCCTAACGAGTACGAATCGCCGTCCTTGATAGTTTGCAATTTAGCAGGCACAGGAAAGAACATCTGGCATTGTGTACGATCTCGGATTTCTTTCCGAAATGCGCAGCGCAATGTAAATGGCAGTCTAAGCAGCACAAAAAAGGAATACTAACGTTAAGTAACAGTACATATTCCATTTTTCTTAATTACTACGTTTAAGACAAATATGCGATATAGGAAGCTAGTTTTTTGATCCCAATTAATATATATAATGGGAAAAAGGGACAAAAAAATGTTTCTTTGAAAGGGATCTTTCAAATGCCTGAAATATCCAAATTCCAAAGAAATGAAAATGATCCTATATTGTATATTTATCTTTTCAGAATGTTGACTGTTTGTTTGACAAATTTGTTTATATGTTGTAATAATATTGAGCAAAAAAGATGTAATATTAATTCCTAAAATATTTATTTTTGCGATAGGATTATTACGATACCAAAAGAGATTGAACTAATTTATGATACAATTAATATTACATAATAGTTAACTTCTACTACAACAGAAATAATGTAATTTAATCATTAAGAACTCTCCAAAGATAATACATAGTGTATAAAGTACTTTGCTAATCCAACGTGCATTCCGAGCATGTTGTATCGTTTAAGATTTTCTTATTTTTTTTTATAATTGTATATTTATTTACCCATGTAACTTGCTCATACGTACTTTCATTTTTTTTGTGATATAAAAAGGAAGTTATATCGAGGGCTGTGCCGCGACGGCCTGCGGGACGTTAGATTTTATCAGGAATGTTTAATAACTTTTGTTGGCAACTAAGTTAATGATGATGATAATATTTAAGTATTTCTAGATTACATATTTCTTGAAAAGATACGTATTTTTTTGCTAACAACTGAATGTAACATTTTGAGAACAAATATGTGTTATACTATCATGCATTCCTGATATTTGATAAAATTAATAATTTAAGATTCCTGTTTACTCATTACAACCATGTTGAAATAATATGATTTTATTTTTTGCATTATGTGCATTGAAATACATTTTTTCAGTTTTTATTTTTACCATGTTACAAATCCTTGTTTCAAACAGTAATAATTAGATGTAAATTTTAATCAATAGTTCCAAGGTTCATTTTTGCTGATAACGTAAAGAAAATACATATATACATGCTTTTGCTAATGCATAATAATAAAAAGAAAAGCTTGTTTGCTGATTAGAGAAAGAATTAATGTGATTTGCTAATATGGTTGCAGTGAGAACACAGGAAACATTGACAAATGTGGTATTATTATACAGAGGCTGAAAATATTGCTGTTATTGTGACTTCTGATGTAAATTTGTGCGGAAAATACTTGTATGATATGATCGTACGAAATAGTTTCTATATGATTATATAGAAGCTATTGCCAACAGCTATAATAGCTTTTTAATATTTCATCCATATCTATTTTTACTTATGTGATAAATAACTTAATCTTGTTGGCGTTAACGAGTACTGATTATTGGTAACTTGTTGATGGTGCCTGATCGTTGGTGTTTATTACTTTATATACTTCCAAAACTATGCAAATGAACTTTCTCTCGCTAATATCGACCAATATACCGACTTTCGAAAGACAGTCGGATTGATTTGACGATGGAGAAAAATAGCACGAATAAAAAACATCAATATTTCAGTAAAATGTATTTTTATCGATGATTAATATGCATTTCAGTATTACGAATCCTCTCCTTCATTTTTTCTAAAACAGAGAATTTCGGTAAGACACGTATCTTTTTTTTACAATTCATAATTGAAAAAAGATTTTGAATTATATAATTTGTTGTTTCTAATCCTTTTATGGTTCATCACATAATAAGTATTAAGATTTCTACCTATGAGGAAAAAAAATATTGTCAATTAATCAATTTAATAAAGTTGTTTCACACACGATGTAATACGCATGCGCGCACATAATGGTGCAATCCACGCGTTAAGGCATAACGTGATGCCGAATATACGTACAAACATAAGCACATACATTTAACGTCAAAAAGTTACAATATTTTTATCCTTATGAGTTTCGAAGCGTGTCTTTGAATCACGAGATTTAAATATTAATTTAATTTAATTTAACTTAATATAGTTGAAGTTAATTAGTAGGTTATGATAGGTTAGTTTGAACGAGTTATAATCTTAAAAAATCTGTTAAAGAATACCTTGTTCTAATTGCCAAGGGATGATTATGGCAGTATTTGTCCACTGTTCACGCTTTCAACGTTTAATTGGCTTGAGTAACAATGTTGTTGCTTTATTTTCGGATTCCACACGATATTCGGTAAGCTTGTAATAAGACTGAAGCTGTTTATTTAATTTTTTTATAGATTATGTGTGAATTATTTATTTAATTAATTTATTGCGTAGTTGCAGAATTATAATAAATCACAATCATTTGCAACATCTATCAATGACATCAAGGATGAAATCAAGTCAAATACAAAGAAACCAGAGAAAAAAATAAGCAAAGCTATGGCGATGTATTTACAACGTACTAAAGAACATGGTAATAACTGATTTTTTTTAAACATTTTTTTAAAGGATTTAATTTTGAATTAATGTAATGTATAAGTGCAATATATCAATAATTTATGAATATTTTTAATGTATCATTTTTTTTAATTTATCAGATGAATTTATGAAGAAAGAAATTATAGAATATGAGATAGGAAAAAGACATTTGGCTAACATGATGGGTGAAGATCCAGAGTGTTTTACACAAGCAGATGTAGAAGTATAATAATTTATATAATAAATTATCAGTTTTATAAATATCTAAATTATTATTTATAAGATATATAATTATTTTTAGAGATCAATACAATATCTGTTTCCATCAGGATTGTTTGATCCTAAAGCTCGACCAATAATGGATCATCCAGAAAAGCTTTTTCCAAATAAGAAAGAAGCAGAATTTGATGAATCAGGAAGACCTTTCCACTCTATGTTTTACACCTCAAAACCAAATTATTATGAGACACTATATGTAAGTTTCTATAATTAGATTTATAATATATAATATATATATTTATAATATATACAATATATATATATATATATATATATATATATATATATGAC